GCCTGCAGAGGCTGAGCTGTGCCCAGAGGATGCTGCTGGCGGCGGTGTTTCCTCCCCACATCAGGAGGAAACTGCCTCGTGTTGGTTTTAAGCGCTGCATTTTGTGAGCCCGTCGTCCTCAATCTTGGATTTTGCTGTGATTTCCTTCCATTTGGTTTGCTTTCAAGTTGCCACAATAGCATTTTATGGCCACTTAGCTCAGGGCTGCGTCACACGTGGTCCTAATTAGAAGCGGATTAAGAGCAACGGGGAACGTGCAGCCATGGAATATTTCACAGTTTCTCATGTAGCATCGGCTCAGCAGATTTGGAAGAGGAAAAGCCTGGGATTTATTGTAAGTGTGAGGGGGGAAGATGCTAAAAGCATCAGCTGCCTGTGAGCAGGGCTCTGCTTGTTAGCGCCCTGCTTGATGAGAACGTTTCACTCCTTAAATGTCCCTATGGAGAGGTGAGGATGTGCAGGACCTCAGCGTGCTGTTCCCAGTGACAAGGGCAGCCACTGCCCTGCTCCACTGTGGGAGAGGGGAAGCATCCCGCTGCATCCTGCTCCCATCAGCATGGATTAGAGGTGCTGGGTACACCGCAGGCTGTGCGTGCGATGTCCATCCCAAAGACCGCTGGAGCTGAAGGGATGGATGGGGACTAGGAAGGGGGACTTGTCCAGGATCTCCATGAGCAGTGAGGCTGGGAATGCAGCTCATCCCTTCCGGGCCCTGCTGTGCCTTGGGTTCACTGCTCCATCCTATGTGTGTGTGCTGCTCTCCCGGAGGAAGGGGGGGGAATGAGGGCTTAAAAGTGGGTGGCTGTGGAAAGGGGAGGTTGGGCTGAGCTGGATGAGGGTGAGCAGAGGTTTGTGGGTAGTGTAAAGCTGTCACTGTGATTTAGGGCCGGCTGGTTAAACTGGTTTATGTTCCCAGACAGTAAGTCGTAAGCAATAGAAGATTTTCTGTGAAGAGCTGATCTGCCCTCGTCATGCTTTATGCTGTCTTTCCCAGGGTGATCTCTCCTCTTTATAACCCCGTGGTGCCATAACAGGGAGACAACCGGGTTCTGGCTATTGGACAAAGGGGACACGGAGCCCCAGAGGTGGGCCCATGCTGGGATCCTCAGCTCCCTCAACCAGAGCATGGGAGGCAGTTACCCTCGGTTGGAGCTGGGCTGCGTTTACCTGCAGTCATCGCGTGATCGCCTTGAATCAGGTTTCCCTCCCCGCTCTTGCCTTGGAGTTGTTGCTGTCTTCCGAAAGCAAACGCTGCTCCCGTTCACCTTTGGTATTTTCCACAGCCGTGGATTTAGGAAATGCTTTCGCTCATGCTGCCATTGCCGTGTCAGAGAGAAGGTCTTGGTGCTGTGCAAAGGGTTTCTTCGGGCGCTTGAAGTGTGGTTGCAGGCGAAATCCTCTGCCCTGGTCCTTCTAGAGGGGCCCCTCTGAAATTGGATGGGAAAATGGTGCTCTCAGAAGCTATTTCCAGGTGTAATTTCCATCTCTTTCCCCGATAATTAAACATTTTTAGGTCATCCCGTTTCTCCGCCCTATTTGCAGACCTGGCCTGGATGCCTTTGTAATTAGACGTGTCCCTGGGCAGGAGGATGAGCGCGGGAGGTGCTGGCTCTGCTCCTTTATTCAAGCACTTGCATGTCCTTGGGGCTCTTCGCTGAGGGATGGAGCAGCCCCCGTTTGACATCCCAGGCCTGGGGACGTGGCAGCTGCTCTCAGCAGTGACACCAGGGCAGCAGCAGTGGCCGTGCTGCTGAAGGGTCAGAATCCTGATCATAGGCATTGAAACCTTTTTAAGCTGTGGGGTTTTTTTTTGAGGTGGATCCTTACTAAAACGAGGGGGAAATGGTGTTTTAACACCTCCCCCTGCCACAAAACGGCCCTTAAGTAGGTTCCATCACAGTTTAAAGCTGCAGCTTCGCACAGGATGAAAGGGCGATATCGTTCCTCTGAAACAGCAAAGATTAAAGTGGCACAGGGAAGGAAAGCAGAGGTGTTTGGATGTTACCGTGGCTCTTAGGAACACAATGATACCAGACCTTCCCTTTGTGGGGAAAACTGAGGTTAAACCACTAATCCCTGGGGGGTGCACGTCCCCCCCATCGCCACAGCCGAATGCATCCTTTTAGGTGGATAAAAGCAGAAACCTCCAGGAAGAATGAAAACATTGGGATGCTCTGATCCCGTTGGGGTGGGCACCTGCCCGCGGGCCGGGTCTGTTCATTAAGGGGGGTGTGTGGAATGTGAGCCACAAAACCCCGTCTCTTTGTGCGGGAACCCCCCGGGGGGAGGATTTAGCCCTTCAAATGTGTTACCTTAATCCTGAGCAAACTCGGGAGCAGGAAAGGTCAGCGCCTTCCTTCCCAGCCCGGCGGGGATGCGCTGCCGGCGGCTGCTCCGCGCCTCAGCCTCTGCTTCTATGGGCTCAAGTTTCAGAGCAGAAGAAAACCAATACGGTTGCTGCAGGTGTATCCGTCCTGATCCTATCTGGCATCTTTCACCCCCAAATTATACCCTAAATCCTCGGTGAACAAAGTCAGCCAGAAAGGCGCTGGAGGGCTCAGCTGGGATGAGCAGGGGGACAGCTTCCTGCTGGGTTGGATCCCTCTGTCTCCCTTGTTTACTGATGTGTTCATTGCCCACTTCTGCTCCTTGTTTGCCAGCCCTTGGAGTCTAAGGTTGGGCAGAGCCTGCCCTGGTCATCTCTTAGTGGTTCTGGTGGTTAAACCATGGGCCCTTTACGCTCAGCCGGTGCAGTTTAACACTGCCCTCAGTAGGCTTCAGAGTAATCACTGTTGTGGTTCCCCAAGCCTGTCCTCACGAAGAGCCCAATGGCGTTAGGGACAGCCCGTGCCCAGACTGAGCCTGATGGCTCAGAGACCCGCTCTGCTTCCCAAGCACCATCCCAGCTCCTTCCCTCCCCTTCCCATTGAGCTGCTGCTGCAGGCACGGCTCGAGCAGACCTGCCCGAGCAAGCCCGGCTCGGCGCGGGCACAGGGAATGCTCCCCCTTTGACTGCATGGTTGGGACTTGCCTCTCCTGGGATGTTCATGATGAGCTGTGGGCTGCCGGGGGCTGTGGCTGTGCCGGGGCAGGCCCTGGTGCTGAGACACCTCTGGTTTCACCACCGCTCCCTCCGTTGCTCAGCCATGGGGGCCCTGCACTGAGAAGCAGTGATTGCGGGGGGGTTGTAGCACCTGACACAGCGATGCCCGTGGCTTTGATTGAGTTTCGTGCCTCCCACGGTGTCACACAGGGATGGTGAAGCCCTTTGTCACGGCCCCAGGTGCCCTTTGCAGCAGTGAAGATGCTCAGCAGGAGAGGATGTGGCGGAAGAAGCGGTTGCGGGATTTGCTGCCTGGGTGCGGGGTGGCTGGTGATGCCCCCCAGTAGGGAGGGTGATGGGGGTCTGGGCATGGTGGGAGGGTTTGTGCCGCTGCCATGGGGTCCACATGCAAATATAGCAAGCTATGCACCAGCCGGACCCACGCTGCATGGCCGGGAAATTCCAGGGATCCGCTGCGGCCGGGCAGGAGGCGTTAATGGCCGGGGTCTGTAATCAGTACCTGCAATTAGCCTCTGCTCCCGCTGGCCTCAAAGCTCTGCCATAAACCACAGTCCCACGCTGCCATTCCTCATTCCCACCCCTCCCTGTCATGCCAGCTCGACCCTTCTCAGCTCGGCTGGGATGTGCCTGCCCGGCCGGGATCAACTCAGCAATGGGCCATAGAACCAACTGGGTTGGAAAAGACCTTTAAGACCATCAAGGCCAACCATTACACCAGCACCACTAACCCTTGTCACTGGCTGGTCAGGGCTGGGGTGAGTGAGGATGGAGGATGCGGTGAGGGGTTCAGGGCTGTCTATTGGTCTGGCTGGTCCTTGCCAGTGGGCCTGGAAGTTGAGATATGCCAAACTTGCCAATGGCTTGTGGTTGTTGCAGGCAAAAGAAGAGCCCCTGAGTGGTTTTGAGCCCCCTGGTCCTCATACCCCCACCTCCCCTCTGCTTGATGCTCACTTGTGGTAATGCCACATCGCTGATGACATTGAACATATTAATATAGGGTTTAAATAGCCTGAGGAGGCCAGTACCAGGCAGCACAGGCCCACATGTTGACCCCAGATTAGTGAGCACTGGGGCTAAACCTGTGGCTGCTGCTCAGGGCCCTGAGAACATCACCTGAATGTATGCCTGGTGCTGCCCAGTGGGTACTGGGAGAAGGACCCATGGATGCCCCAATCCACAGCACCATGCAGTGGGGCCCAATGGCTCTGGGTGCTTTTCAGAGCACCAAAAATGCTGGAATCTACCCCAGAAGCGTCTGGTCCAGCTGCAGTGCCTGGGGAGGTGATTTGGCATCTCATGGTTTACAGCTTTGGTTTTGCTCTGCTGAAGGAGAGAGGTTCTGCCCTACTCCTTGTGTTGTTTCACTAAAGGGAAGCACTGAAATCCCTGCCTGTTTTCCCTGTCTCCCTTTTGGAGGGGGGAGACAGCTGTTTCCTCCTTTCACAGGCAGGTTTTCCCTCTCCTAAGGGCACCATGCAGCCAAGTTGGGAGCCTCCTCTCACGCTGCTGCTCTTGGGCCTGAACCCCGAAAGCCGAGGGGTGCACTGGGGACTGGAGTGGGGGAAGCATGGCAGCGGTGAGGGATGTGCTGGGCTTCCCGGGCAGTCTGGAGTGATGCCGGTCAGGGGGATGCTTGGCTCAGCCTCTTCCCACCACCGTGTGCCTGCAACGATGGGATTTCTGGGGAGCAGCTCCCAGAAAGGGTCGGTGCCGCTGCGGCGCCCCCCTCCCCAAGCAGGGAGACCCAGCTTGGGGCCCTAAAACCAGCGCCCTGGGGGGCTCCGGTGCTCCCCCTTGTAGGCTCCCTCCTCCCGCCCGGAGCTCCCCTTCTGTGGCTTTGGGGGGCCGGCCCCCCTCCCGCTCCCCTCCCCTCCCCTCCGTTTCCATCTCAATACCCGGCACCTCCGGCGGCTTTTGCGCTCGGGTTCGGGCCAAGGAGGGGCCGGACGCGCGGGTGAGGGGCTCGCATCGCTCGGCGGCTTTAACCTGCTCATTTGGAGGGGGTGCGCGGCTGGGCGGGGGCTGCGGGCGAGTCCTGCCCTGCCCTGCCCGCAGCTCTGCCCGCCCTGCCCGCACCCAGCCGGGCGAGCGGGAGGCAGCAGCAGCAGCAGCAGCGCCGAGGGGACGCAGCCGGATCCAAAATGCTCCTAGGTGGGTGAAGCGCAACTTCCCCCCCCCCAGCGAAGCAACTGGGGGGGGAGCGGGGTCCCCCCTGGACCGGGGGGAGCGCGGTTTGTCGGGGCGGGGGTCGGGGAGCTCGCCGTGCTCCTGTCCCGGGCATGGGATGCTCCGGAGCCCGTCCGAGCGCTCCGGCGAGCAGCGGCTTCCACCGAGTTACTTGAGCTTGGGAAAAGGGCGATAAATCACGGCGCGAGTTGTGCTTTAAGGGAGAAAATACATCTGGTGGTTTCTTCTCTCCGGGGTAGCTCGGCTGAGGTCATGGGGAAGGGGGGGGGGGGGGAATCTTTTCACCCCGTCGCAGTTTTGACCACAGAATAGTGAAAATTTGAGGTGGGTTCTTTAGTGCTGGGGAAGAGGTCCAGGAACGCGCGGGGCTGGAGGAGCCCGGGCTCGGAGCGAGGGGTTGAGCAGCATCCATCCGTGATTCACCTGCGGGGTCCCCAATCCCACTCCCATCAGGGCTCCCCACCCCAAACCACCCTCGTGAGGTTTCCTTCTTCCTAAGCAAACCGGGTCGCTGCCGTTCCCTGCCCGAAAACCCATTTAAAGAGCTGGTTCTTTTTATTTGCATCAACAAAATGGTCCCTCCAGCCCCGGCGCACACGCAGCCCGTTCCTCGGCTCCAGCCTGCACATCCTGATGACTTGCGGGGCTCAAGCTGAGTTTGAATCACTGCATCGCATTGATTCCCCCCCTCCAGGGCTGCAAAAAGAGGCAGAAAAAGGTCGTGGGCTCGCAGGGCTTCCTCTTGCCCTTGCTCTTTGTTCGGGTGTCAGCTCCAGCTCGTGTTCCTGCTGCACTCGTGATGAGAATGCTTGGATGGTTTTGAGGGGGAGTGTGGGGCCGGCAGCGCCTCTGTGGGGGGAAGCGGGTGCTGGGGGTGCAGTCGGTGCCTCGCTGCCGTGGGCTCGGTGGGCTGTGGCCGCAGAGGGAGCGTGGCGCTGCTCTAGGACCCGTTCCATGCCCAGAGCCAGGGCTGGGCATTTCGGTGGGTTTATTCCCGGTGTGCTGGGTCCCTGCGGGCAGCGGCGCTGGGTCTCTCCATGCACGTCCGTGTGCATGTGGGGTGCACATACGTGTGAGCATGTGCGTGCCTGCATGCCTCCAGGCACCGGAGGTAAAACGAGTGCCCTCTCACTGGTGTGCACTTGTCGGTCCGGGGGTGGCACGGCGGATGGGGCTCCTCTGCCCTTCCTCCAGCCTTGCCCCTCGGCTGGCTCCTGGGATCGCTTGGATTGTCCTAACAGTGGGAAACGCAGCCTTTCCCCAGCGAGCTGCCTTTGGCTGTACCTCCGGAGCGTGTGGTGCTGCTCGGGATGTTCAGCTGGGATACTTGTCAGGCAGAGCAGGTTTAAAACCAAAGAACCCGAAGACCAGCAACAAAAATAACCCCAACCCGAACCTGGGTTTAGCTTTGCGGTCTCAAATATGCCTGAAAAGTTGCAAAGCCGCTAAAGCTTCAATTCTGAACCGGGCTCTCGCTGGTGATCTCTGTGCCGCAGCCGTGGAGCCCTGCGTAGAGAAACGCGGTGCTTTGGAAGGTGTTTGTGCTGTGGCTGCTCGCTGTGAGTGCTCCGCGTCCTCTCCCCGCTGTGATTTAAGCAGCCCTTAAGAACCAAACGGGAACCCGGAGCCCCGCGGCTCCGCTCGGTGCTGGGCCCTGGTGCTGCTCTGGGTTTGCTCCTATTAACTGCCAGCTTAATGAGGCTCCTCTCTGCCGCTGTGCGGGTGAATGGGGAAGGGAGCCTGTCCCCGCTCAAACTGGGTTTGCTTTGGGGCTCCTCCATCGGGTGGTGGGACTGGGGTTGCTCTGGGTGGGTTTCTCTGTACGTGCAGCACTGATTTTCTTGCCGGGGCTCGCACCAAGGAATGGCCTGGGGAGAGCATCAGTCTCCTGGTTTCAGCCCTGAGCTCGCCCAGCCGGGGCTCTGAGCTACTCCGATAGCCTCAGCCTCCCCTTCGGAGTATTTTTAGACCAAGCTGTCATCTAATCTTGACCTCCAGTATGATGTGGGTTAGAAAATGTCACAGCACTGGCCAAGGGTATCATTCACCATCCACTTTTTAGATGGTTTGTAATGATACCTCACCTGGAGTAACGAGGGGCGAACGGGGCTTTAAATAAACCTGGACTTGGCTGAAGCTTCTGCTGCTGGCACTGGGGCTTTAGGGGTCCCTTCCAGAACCCATCCTCATGTCCCAGAGCCCCGATGACCGCAGGGGTAGGGCATGCAGCACATGGGTGCAGGAGTGGGCTGCGGTGCCCCCTCCGCTCCGAAGTGATGCTGTTGGCATGGCCTGGGTGGGAGTTGCGGAAATGACAACGAAATACCAGGGGTAGGAAAGAGAAACCTAATTAAAATATAATGACAGATGTGTTGTCATCGTCCGACCCTGGCAGGGCCAGGACAGGGGGGTCTGTGCACGTCTGAGCTGTCAGCACAAAGGTGATGGATGCTGAGCTCCCAGAAAACAGTGCTGGGGAGCACGGAGCAGGGGCTTTGCCTTTGGGAGAACCTTTGGGGTGAACCTGTAAATGGATTGGGGTTTGAAAGCCCCTTTGGCCTCCCAGGACTTACAGCCCTGAAGTCAGAGCCAGTGGGACCCCTGCAAGGGGGATGAGTCCCTTTGTACCCCCCTGAGCTTCAGGTGCTTCAATAACAGAAACCATTTTCACTGCTCACAGTGAAAACTGTGTTGGCTTCAAGAGGCTGGCAGAGACAGGAGCCCCTTCCTTTGTTCCCAATTGGTTATTTCCCCGGAATGGTGAGAAAGCATCAATTGGAGTTATCGGGTTTTTCCCTTTTCATTTCGGTCGCTCACTCCCTGTACAGAATGAAGTGGATTTACCCATAATTGCTCTGATTTAAACGATGCCCTGGATAAAGACTGAACTACCCGGGGCTCCAGTCTCCCCCCTGAGCTTCCCATCCTTCAGGAGCACCCTGACCTGTCCCCCACCACCCCAGAGGAGGTGGTGATGGTGGGGAGGGCAGGGCTTTTGGGGGAGCAGAGCCCGAATCGGTTCAATACTCGCTGCCTCCATCCTGCTCCTGTGCCAGGTTAGAATGAGCCCAGCTCCCTCCCGAGCTCCTTGGTACTGGTCCCAGCAGGATGCAAGGGATGCTAAAGGATTGGGGCTGGATGGATGCTGGACGGCTGCTCATTGCTACATGGGGAGATCTGGGAATTAAGATCCAAGGAGAGGTGGGCTGGATGCTTGTGGACATAGGGGAGGAAAAGAGGCTGGATAGAGCAAGACCTCCACCCAGTTTTGCCCCTTAGACATGGTTTAGTGCATCGGTTGTGCAGGGTTATGGCTTGGGGCAGCTCCTGGGGTGCTGGATGCAGCTGAGGTGCCTTTTGAGGACCAGGATCAATTGGGAGGGAGGGAAATCTCCTTGTCTTCTGCTCTTGCTCCTTGACAAAAAGGCTCTGCTGCTTTGTGGGGGGAACGCCGCCCCTGTATCTGCTTGGAAGAGCATCAGGCTGGGGGGGGGGCAAAATAAGCACTGCCCCCCCAGCTGGCCAAAGCGCCCTGTCTGTGGCCATGCCCTGAGTTTGCAGATGTCATAGAATCACAGAATAGTTAGGGTTGGAAAGGACCTTAAGGTCATCATGTTCCAAATGTCGTTTGAGCCGGTTTCAGGGCTGATCCCTGCCAGCTCGACTCACGCAGCAGAAGGTTGTGACAAGGGGAGGGAGGAGGGAGGCAGCGTCCTGCAAGCTGGTAGTGACTGGGGGGCTCCTTCTCCAGCAGCACCCCATGGTCCCCGCTCCTCTGCCCCCCCCCCCCCCCCCCCCAAGGACCAGAGCCCCTGTGCAGCGCTGACCTTGTGTGATGGGTGGCAGGAGGGTGGCCGCTGGAGCTGGGTGCTGTGAGGGGATGGGGCTCAGTGGGGTTTGCAGCTCGGGAGCACCAGGAACTGCTCTTCCCTGTTGGAAAAGCGAGATCATTCCCCAGGGGCTGAGATGGCTCAAAGCAGAGAAGGCAACCAAGACCCTATGAATGCGTTTGGACTCGGGGATTTAATACCCTTGGGATAACGTGGCTGGGATTTCAATCTCTCCTGTTCAGCTTCTTGTCGGCACAATGACAAACCCTCTGGACCGCGGCCGTGGGGCTGGAGCATTGGTGGGGGGGTTGCCAGGATCCATCCCTTTGGCAGCGCCGTTGGATGCTCCGTGCCCCGGGTTTGGTCCGAATGGAAAGTGTGGCTCATGGCAGCAGCCGCGCTGATGATGAATGCGCTCGTGCTGCCGGGCACCTGCCCGCCCGCCTGTCACCGAAGGGAAAATAGCCCCGATGGAGCCAACGCAAGCTCTGCTGCAGCACGGGGGCCAACAGCAGCGTTCCCGTGTCCGTTCCTTTGGGAATGACGGCCGGCATCCTGCGGGGATAGGGCAGGGGCGTCCTGCAAGCGCTGCCCCCCATCCCTGGTAGAGCTGGAGGCTCCCAGTAGGAAGGTGGATGTTGGGAGCCCCAGGGCAGGGTCCTTGGAGCTGTGGCCGTGCTGGGTGAGGAGCTGGGTGCTGCTGTAGTTGATCTACCCGCTGGGGTTTTTGGTTCCTGCCTGGATTCCTGTTGCTTCTTTTGTTTCCCTGCCTGGCTCCCTTTGGCTCCTGATAACGTGTACCTGGTGTGGTGAAAGCGGAGGGGAAGGTGGGCAGGGAGTGCTTTTGCCACCCCCCCCGTTTTCCAGGACTTGGATAGGGGCCCTTGGTGCTCTCCATCCCTCTGCTCTGCGTTTGGGTGCCACTCCCGGCTCCGGATGCTGGGAAACAGGGGATGGGGCAGCCTCCAGCCCGAAAACTCATTAAAAAGCCTAAGTCCCCTTTTCTCGCCTGCATTAGCACAAGAATAAATAGTGCATATTTTCAGCCCTGGGAGCCCCGTCTCTGGTTTCACCCAGCTCCTGTTAGCATTAACCCTGGGCTGAGGTGCAGGGCAGGAATGTCCTGAGCGCAGG